TATATATATTTCCATATTATATTTGTCCAATGCATTTTATGCCAGACAAGGAATTTTAATGCCTCTGGGTTCTGGCTCATTTTTCACGCGGCTCGCTTGTTGGCCATTTTACTGCCTTCTTCTTCAGCTGTTTGGAGCTGCATTTGACTTTGAGTTTTGCCGTTTCCTTTGCCTTTGCCTTGCCTTGCCCTGCCATGCCCTGCCCCGCTTTGCCCTGCCGTTTTTGACCGATAATAATAGAAAATTTAACTTGGCGCTCGTCTGGTTTCGGCTTGCAAATTCGCCACGCTGACTGGGCTACGTGCTACCCGTATGCAATATATAATACGCTATATAGTATACATCGAGCATTTGTTATCGCCCCCAACCACTCCGTCCTGTTGCCCTGCCCCCTTTGGCTGGCAACCGCAAGAAATATTCGTCCATAATGCGAATGACAATGCTCGATAAGCTGCTTGCCCAAGCAATTGAGGCAGGTAACAAGACAATGAATGCATTGTCTAAATACGATATATATGATAAACGATAGACATCAATATTCAAAATAGAAGTGTACTCTGTAGAACTCTGATTTATGTTTATCCTAAGCTAGGGCAGGATTTACTTTTTGAAACAAAGACTTCTTTTATGTCTAACATTCTCTAAATTCGTTATGTGACAAATTGTATTCTATGGACGAATTCGATACATAAATATGTGAAAGTGAAATCCTTATTGAATAGCTTTAAGGCAGACTTCTCTGCTTTAGCTACGCACTCATCTTGAGAGGATTACGATTCGAAACAATTCTTGAATATTCCATAGAATATCTATCCATAAATAGTGTTGGGAATGCTGCTTAAGTTATATATATATATATATCTCTATATATACATATACTATCATATATTACCATTTTTGTACATATTTTATACCATTTGGTCAGAACATTTATTATATGGAATCATAGAAAATAGTGTTGGAATATGTTTGCTGTACTTCAATATCCCGAAACAAATATTAAAATAGAAAACATTTTCTATTTTTATCGTAAACATTCTTGATAGCAAGATTTAAGCATTTAACGCATAGTTTGTATATCTATATGAACAGGTAAATATTGGGACAATTATATAAATGTATATATAGTGCTCGTATTTGGCAGACTTTCTGGAGTTAAGCGTATTTCTATCCACGGATGTATGTAAATATATATAATAAAACATATATACAAATATATATGTTTTCTATATATATTCAATTCATATCAAATAATTCTGCAAAGCTTTCCGTTGAAAGTATTACAAAATTTCTAAGAAAAAACGTAAAGTGAATTAATGAGAGACAAAACAATTTTATATCGCTAAAGCAGTAATCTATAGTGAGGCTATCTATGTATATCAATTACATTTGAATGTCTGCTTAAAGCTCAGCTCTAGCTTAATCATAAGCTTTACCTTAAACTTATGTCATTCGTTGTGCTAATCAAAGTTTAGATTCGTCATCGATGGCAGTAATGATAATGCTTATTATGACGTTGATGATAATGATGATAACGGTAATTTGTGAAACCTTGAACCATATTAGAACTTTGACTCAACTCCACATATATATATATTTTAGCAACAGTTTGTCTACGCTTTTATCAACGCGTAGATTAAGTCTTTTTTTTTTTTTTTATTCTATTATTATTTTATTTCTTTTGTGTAGAACCAAAAATACCCACTAAGCTTACGTTTTATCAGTCTTACGACACATCTGTTCCTTATCTGCTTCGGAATTATATATTTACTGCTAAATGAAAAGAAAATCTTGCCGGGGGGTTTATAGATATATACAAGCATATATACAAATACAACCAGAAGAGTCAGCTTAGTCAACTGATCCCTAGATATTAATAGATTTCCCATATTTTTATATTAAACTCGTATTTATGTACATATTCCCAATCAGAAAAGAGAAACGACGTTAGCTAGTATTCAGACAATTCGATTGGCAAATTCCATCTAGGTATAGCTTATAGAAACATTAAATTAGGAATTAGTTACGTTCATGCCTTAAATGAAATCCATTAAATCGTATTATATTCTACAAGAACTTTTGAAACACTGCACAACAGTAACGCCATGTATGTGTGTATATATGCATATCGAATAGACCCTATGAGATGGGATTGTTCTATCAATAATAATATGGTCAGTTGACCTTTATAGCTTACACAATCTTCTAGAGGTTGGCAATACGAAATATCTCCTCACATATCAGACAAAAAAGTTAAAATTTCGACAAAAGTTAGATATATTATATCTTTTATGCCTCATTATAAAAGACCGTAAATCTTTTATTAAGGCAATGTCTCCCCATAAATACTTATATATAGATTTATCTTTATATATATGTAGATGTCTATCGTAAAGCCTCAAACAAACTTTACTTATTACCAAAGATAATAGATTTCTTTTTTTCTCTGTTCTGTGTGAAACTGAACATTATTTCCAGTACTACCTAAACATCTGTCTCTTATCTTATATAGACGAGTCTTACAAGCATTTCTTGAATGTATTTTTGTAGTCTAGTAACTAGGGTTCATATATCGCACTACTTATCTGAAGGAATAAAGCGGTTAGCAACTAAATATATGATTTCTCACTCTCTCTCTCTCTCTCTCCCTCTCTCTTTCTCTGAAGGCTTTTGTCATTGCTAATTGTTGCGGAAAGGCGGCTATAGTTCGTCTATAATTCGACTCTAAATACATATATATGTCCGTCTAGTTGTCTGTCTCTATTGGCTTGTTGCGCATTGTAGCAGATAAGACTATAACGTTATCTTCGGCTGACCAGCATTTTTTGTTTGCCAAATACTTAAAATGTTGTTGTTCTTTTTCGCTTTTTCCCCTAGCTTATATATGTACACACATATATATGTATGTACATATAAAATATATATTCGCAAACCTTTACTTTGTTTGATATCTCTATTTTGGTTTAGATTAGAAAGAAGCGAAATCTCTGAACTGGCATACATGCGAGTAAGCATGTAGTTTGCCTTGTTCTCTATACACTATGGTATACCGAAAGTATTATTCTACGAGGGGTACATATGTGCCCCACTCTCTCTTTCTTTTTCTGTCTCTCTGTGTCTCTGTCTCTCTGGAATTCGAAATTCTTCATTTCATTCGCGTCACAATTCCCTGTATAGAGGCGTAGGTCATACGTTGAGATGACAAACAGCAATTCGCTATCATCACATCACGCACTAAGACCAGATAAGAGACATTTGGGAAGGTCGTCGAACAGTTTGGGTGATCCTTTTAAAATAAAATTGTTCTGACATGTTTGTTCACTTTTAGAAATTCATTTAAATTTTATTTATAAAGTATTCTAAATTTATGAACAAACTTTTATTTTTAGTTTTTTTTTCTTTAAGCAATAAAGCAACAAAATATGAGAACTATATTCACTACAATTTTATTCGCCAAGTTTACTAGCACCGAAATATGAAAACCACAGGCAAAGACATAATGGCTGTTGCTATAGAAGAATTATCAGAAATTAGCCATATTTCCGCTAGAAAAGTGAATAATCTTACCTATGCTATGTATATATATGTATTTGTAGGAAATGTGATGAGAGTACGAATGTTTCATAATCAAAAATCGTATAAAAATTATTGCAAACCCGGATATGAAATTATAGATAACAGCTAAAATAGGAATAGATATATATGTATATAAATAATTTTATCATATGCTTATACTATCTGTATGTAGTATATAGTATGCTAAAATTGAATTTTCACATTAATATTGAAAAAAGAAATTATAAATAAAAATCTATTAGCTATCAATTAGCTAAGTGGATATTTAGACTAACAGTCCTTCGCAGTACTTAAATCTCCCTGTATACACTATCATTAATTAAGGAAAGCTGCTTATTTAATTGAATTGTGTGAATGAGCTATTTTATAAGGAGTATTGTTGCATAACATTGCAATGGTGACGGTTTCACAATCGATTAGCTGATTGATCAGGTGATTTACTTTCCACAGTAAGAAAGTTGAGTATGTGAAAATTTTAATTTGAACTTGTCTTTTTTTTGGAATTCCATTAGAAGTCCTTTGCGTGATATAAGATTTACATTATATTATATTATATATATTAAGAATCTCGGAAATTTTAGGATATTTACATGAAATTAGAAGAAATGGGATATACACTGTACCATTCCGTATGCTTAATTAAAATATTTGTAACTAGCTTAGAGGTAATACCCATTACCTATTTATATTGATTGTATATGGTCTGCATATGCACAAGGTATTTCATAATAAGACTAAATCTAAACGACGCACTCAATTTGTATTACTAATCATTAAGTCAATCGCGCACAACTTTCGCCAGTTATAGGTATATATATATATCATGTATATGAATATGTACACGATAAGACCAATGTCCATTAGGCAATAAGAGCTGGCTTTGTCTTATGTTTAATACAATTTAATTGTATGTATTATGGGTAGAGACCGATGACATCATACGARCAGTTTCTGATAAGAATCAATATAAATATTTATTATATTTGTATGCACAAAACTCAAATATAATATTCTTTCTTCTGGCAAATTGATTTATATCGAAGTAGACTGTTGGTCTCGTTGGTTAATTCGTTGCTAAAGATGATGTCGTTGTTTCAATATTACAGGCGCCTGAAAGGTTTTGGTCTAACCGACGACGATTTGAATGTTATATTGGAGAAGGGCTTCGACGAGCTGCAGCAGAACTATGAGAAGGCCTCGAATCAGCCGCATCGCAACGAGGCACTGTGGCTGATCAAGGAAGCCAAGCGACAGGATGCCGAGGAGATGCTCAGTGGAGCGCCCACGGGCACATTCCTGATACGAGCCCGAGACGCGGGCCACTATGCGCTATCCATAGTCTGCAAATCGGTTATACATCACTGTATTATCTATGAGACGGAGAGCGGGCTGGGCTTTGCGGCGCCCTACAACATCTATCCCACGCTAAAGAAGCTGGTCGAGCACTATGCCACCAACTCGCTGGAGGAGCACAATGACAAGCTGACCACTGTGTTGCGCATACCCGTGCGATATTGGTTGCAGAACAAGCAGCAGCTAATGGAGCAGCTGCAGGAGGAGCTGGAGCTGGAACAGGAGCAGGAGCGCTTGGCCCAAGAGGCGGCTCTGATGCCACCACCGCTGCCACCACAAGCGACGGCAAGCAGCGCACCAATACCCACAACCAGATCCAGGGAACATCGTGGCCATGATTCAATTGATGCAGCATTTAGTATTGAGACGGAAACACCGCCAGCTTCCATATCGCCATCAAATTTTAGTACATCGCAATAGGCAAACACGCACACAATCTCTCTCACACACACACTCCCACATACATGCCCACACATACGATCAATCTCCTCCTCACAGACATACACACCCACACTGTCCAGGCCAATGGCTAGGTAACTCTCATAGATATCCAGACCTGCAGCAACGCCCCTTCCCCCCAAATATGTATATCTCTCTTAACTATTATAATATTTAAAGAAAAAGTGTCGTTCACACTGTAAAGCGAAAAACAAGTAATTTGGTGATTCATGTTGATGTTCAAATATCTCTGTATATATATATATATACATATATGCTATATGCTATATATACGTATGTATATGTAACTATGTACGTATTTCTGTCAATGTTTTTGCATTTTGCTTGATTACAAGTGATAAAAGAAAAAGAAGTTAAAATGGTCAAGCCAATTGCTATGTGAGTTTTGTTGGTACGTAAGCCACAATCTATATACATATATATGAAACTTAAATTAAGAAGCTATAATTATATACATATGCATATTTATCAATATATATATATATATATTGGTTTTTAGCTCGCACGCTGCGCGTTATCGAGTCATAAATGCCAATTTGAACAGTTAAAAAATCATCTTAAAATACAAGTTCTTTGTAAATAAAAACACATATATACGATATGTATGTATATATATAGCTTCACTTTGAAAATTATTTGAATTGTTTTGAGCTGCATTTTGATAATACAGCTGGCAAAACGAAAACAATTCGACCACCAAATTATTTGTTGTTAAAAAGAGTCTTAAATGATTTTGAGTTAGTTTTTAAGTACAATTTACGAAGTACGTACGTTTATGCGCGATCAGTGATCAGCGGTCAAGCTGTAGTTCTATAACAATTTTTGTTTGTTTCTATTTTTTTTACAATATTAAGTTTAGTGTTTCTAAATACCTTAAAAGCAACAGCAATTACACACACACATACACACACAGCAACAGCAACAAAAGTGCAATTGGCAAAACGAAACAAAACAAGAAAGAAAAAAAAAAAAAGAAAAAGCAAAAATGAAATCTTTTACATTTGTTAAAAATTTATGCTCTATAAAAAAAGACAAAAAAAAAGCAAAAAAAATTATATATATACATACTTATATATATATATATATACATATGGAATCTGCTGCAATATGCAATAAACAAAAGAAGCTTCAGTTCAGTTAAGTTGATAAATTAAACCAATTATATATGCCCACCTGCTAAGAGGTTTTTTATATGCTATTCTACGAAAAGGCCTAACAAAAAACTAACATTTAATATTTGATAAGTTTTGTGCAATTTGTGTTTATTGAAAGAGCAACAAGAAAATAATAATATTAATAATTATGGAACAATGTATAAAGAGTATGCAAAGGGCAAACAGAATTCGCTAAAAAAAATTTCCCTTTTTATGCACCAACACACAAACAACAACAGCAACACTCAATGTTTTTTTTTTTTTATATAATTTCTGTAATGTTAATGTAAATCTTAATATAATATATATATATAAATATTTAACTTGTAATATCTATAATTTCACGTGTTTATACTTTATATATATCAACAAATTAGTTATATATATAAACATATTTTTTATTTTCTATTTGCTATGAGATTTCGTTGGATCTCGTACGTTTTGTAGTATTTTATAAGTTTTAAACATGTAGTGTGTAAAAAAGAAAAAAAAAAGAAATATGCGAAGAAACAACTAAAGTTGCAGATTTTTTGAGTTTTGTTAATGAATTTTTTTCAGCCATACTTCAATGAATGAGAAACAAAACAAAATTAAATATATATATGACGATCGATATATGATAACAAATTACAAATTTGTTATATTTTTTATATGAAATATATATATATAATATATATATATAGTTAGATATGTGTGTATATGCTATATGTTGTAGTTCTTAAGCGCTAACCTGCCACAAATTGGTTCAAAAACAAAAAGTGTTTTTTTGTAGTAGATTTTAAAGAATTGAAAGAAAAACTGAGAAAAATGAAAAATATTTGTATCTATTTGTATTTTGTGTCTAAAAAGCAAACAACAAGAAAAACAATGTTCGTAAATAACAAAAAGAGAAAATAAAATGAAACAAGTAAAAGAAAAACAATATATATATAGATGTATATGCATATACATATACATATATATATATTGACGATGATGTTGAAGAAAACAAAAAGAAGAGTTGATTTTACTTTTGGTTGGGTTTCTGCTTTCAATGGAAGCGTTCGCCCCGAAAGCTTTTCTGCTGAGCTGGTTGAAACGCGACCCGAACTCAGGGAATACAGTGGAAATCACGCGGCTCACTCCACACAGCGAATGGCAAACGGTTTGGTTTGGCAGCAAACGGGCGCACGAGATCAGCTCATGATATGACGTGGTCCAACATCAAAAATATAATAATTATTATAAATCCAAAGGAATGTCCGTGATAAAACAATTCGGACGGCGTCAATTTCACTGCCTGCTGGTACCTTGGACTTGCGTAAGTTTATTTATATACAGAAAAGTAAAAAGGAATATGAGCTATTGTGCAATAAAGTTGTAATTTATCGTTTGATTTGATTACAATTTATATGGTTGCACATTTCATTAGAAGAAAGCCTTACATTTTGGTAATGTACGCAAATTTGTAATCAATTTAAGCGGTATTTAGTTTTTAGGACAATTACGTACTAAATTTCCCTGGTATGAGTGGACATTATAATCTTTTGAGGATATTTGCACAAAAATTTCCTAGCCCATACCCAAAATAATTTGAAGGTTTTATTTATAATTCCATTAGGTTGCAGTTTTCGATTCTTCATTCGCGTAGCTAATTAACATTCAATTTATTTTATGAAACAATTTAACCCAAGAACTTAACGAATTTTAGTCTTTAATGAAATAACATTAAGAGTCCTTGACATGCTATAAATATCACTAGTCTACAGTAAATTCAGTTGGTACCTTTTATTGTCCATTGATTATGCTTCTAGTGCCTATTTGTATCAACCAATTAACCACAAAATGCCTTAACTACAATTGTCATAAATTCCACTAATCCCACTAAATTCGCGCTGATGAAAAGTCAACAGTAATTAAATTTCCCCAATAAAACTCTGATATAAATATGTAGAACATAAAAATTTAATTCGAATAGCTTTTTGATTTATGCGATTTATGCATGTATACTGGTACACTAGCACTCATATATACACTTAATTTATTTTTACGCACATGTACATATATTTATTTACGTATACATATGAAATGAACATGTGCATATCTATAATTTTATACGCAGTAGTTGAGCTTTCCAAGTCTGATTGACATGAAAACTAGTACTTTCAAATAGGAAAAAATAATGTAAGCGCGTGTTAAATGAATTATTTTTATAAATATCTTATGACTAACAAACAAGAATTACAATGTCCAACATGTAAAATAAAAATATCGCGCTTAAAAGTATGCCACGAGTTAAATCCCGCTCAATAGCCAGGGCTGCACAGTCAAAGCAAGCAAGCAGCAAAAACAAATACAGCAAGCCAAACGTTTGCAGCAAACATAGAGTACACACATGCAAGCATGTATATATGCTTGTGGTTATTTATGAGCTTATACATATGCATGTGCTCATTGTTAAGCAAATAGTTGATATCACTTTGTTTGAATAAAATTGTATGCGCAATACACGAGGCGTTGGTTTGTTGTTGTTTAAATCCCAAGCGCCTTGCCGCCAACAACAAAATGCGTGCTGCGGCGAATGCTGAGGGGGCGAATTGCGCTAACTGCGCAGTTGTTTAAAAATCTATTTTTTGCCGGGCTGCTGGTAGCTTAAGCGTGTGTGTGTTTGTATATTTATGTATGTATGTATATATGTATGTATGCTTGTGTGTGCTTAAGTCTGTTGGCATAGACAGAATGTGGGTTATGAGCCTCTGACACGCGCATAGTTTGAGAGGGGCAGCTAAACTTGTTGTTCGTCTTCTTGTTATTGTATTTGTTTACAGTTTAAATAATAGGCGGCGCCTTCGCCAACATGTGCCGGCCGGCATTTGGTATTTCCAGCAGTTCAACAAACCCCAAATAATAAATTCACAAAAAATATCTCAAGGTGAATCGCTAGAATTCGCAACAAACATTTCTTATCATTGACGGAGTCGATTAATTGAAAATCCCTTCAAGGTTCAACAACTGATAAAATAATCAAAATCAATCGTTAAATTTTACAATATTATTTAATGTTTATTGCATTTGATTCTTAGCAACTAGAACTATAAATGTTTAGTCAATGTGACTTAAAAAATAACAACAAACAACTATGTATGTATATCTAGACAAACAGTTGAGTGGAAACTAAATATCAGTATTAATTAGTTGGTAAAGGTAGGGACTAAAGGTAGTTAACTAATAATGAGTTTTGGCAGTTGTTACTTGGAATAGGGTTAGTAGACTTCATTTACAAATCCAGTTGGAACTGTTCTTGTTCCTCAATTTTCAGTGATTGAGTTTTCTTGACCAGGTCGGTTGGCACGGGCACACACTTGCGGAAGGGAGTGCGAGGAGTGCCGCGCAACAGGCAGCTGGGGATGTTGCTGGGCGGAGTTTGACTCAGAGGAGAGCTACGCAGATTCTTCATGAAAGTACGTTCATAGATCAACTTAGTGCCTGCAAGAAAAAAAGACCAGAGTGAACTATTAGACGACATGCAAACGAGACTTGCATCAGACTCGTCCAGTACAAGTGATAAGGCTCATAGAAATTCTCATGAGTCACGGACGTGTGCGAGGGATCAGACTGAGGCTGATACTCTCTTATCACAATTCTTCAGCTGATTCAAAAAAGCCGAAATATTTCATCAACTTACCGCCAGGTGTAGTGGAGTAGAGGGTGCCACCGGGCGTAGATGAGTAGACCTCTGGCATCTGGATGGGATCTGATATGACGATCTTCTTGGTCTTTGGCATCGCCATGGGCTCCGCATGAGAAATGGCTTGACGAGCAGTAGGTGATGCAGACATCTTTATCTTATTGGTTTATAAACTTTTAGTTTGTAGTAATAACGGTTGTAAATCGTAATCGAACGATTTTTGTTTGTTTACACGAAATTACGTTGCAGCTTTCTAGCTGTTGCTATCCCTTTCTCCTACGTTCTTAGTTCGCTTTGCGATTCCAATTGACAGCAGACTTCGATGTGGGGTGCTATTTATACTGTGCGCTCTTCGCCTTTCAATCGTATCGCACGTAAACAAAGCAGAGAAACAGCGGCAAACACACGTTCCATTGAACGTCATTGCGCGAGCGCTCACCGCTCTCTCTTGCTACTTTTTCTACTCTCGCACGCTTACGCTCTCTCATTCTGGCTGTCCCGCTCTGCTTGCTCTTTCTGTTTAGCTGTGTTCTAGTTGCTCAAGCGTGCTAGCGCGTGTTGAATGAATTTAGTTAGAAATATTTTGTTGTTATTGCTTGTTTTGTACAACAAAAGTGCTTAGTTTTGTGGTCTGTTTTTCAAAGGACGTTTGAAAACATATCTTGATTAGGTGCTTAGGCTTCTCGCGAACAATCTTTATCTATGCGATACTTTGTTTACACATTCTTTGGTGTTTGCTGTTATTTTAGCCATTAGCCGTTGTTGTTGGTTTTTTGTTTACAATTTCTTGCATAATAATTTAAATGCTGTTCTTTTATTGGGCATTAATTAGGCTATTTAGCAAAGTGAATGAGGTTTGCTTAATTGTTTTACAGACAAACAAATTGCGAAAGCTGAAGTAATTAATTATTTTTATGCGATTATGAAGTTAGAGTAGGATGAGAAATTTCAGAATATCCAAAATGCATATGCAGTATATCTTGTTGGAAACAAAATTTTCGATTGAATGCGTTAAGAAAATTTTTTTTTAATATTTTTTTCTGTCTACAAAGATATACAATTTTGTAAAGTTATATCCTGTAATTATTTTTATACACCTGTATGTATTTATTATATATTATAGACCTCTTAAAGCATATTTTATAGTACAGATACCTCGAAAGTTCGCGAAGACGGATATGCTATGTATATAGTATGTACACATATCTAATTAGGTGCAAATATTTTATAGATCCTATAATTGAATTAACAAAATGTTTTAACAACTTTATAAACATCAAAGATAATATACATATACATATGTATGTACAAAGGTTCACTATAAACTATATACACATGTATGTACACTGATTGCCGTGATATATCTTCTATATTAATTTAGATTCTTAATACATATCAGATAAATTTAAGTTTCTAATAGATATCAGATAAGACATGTGGCGTGTTGCACGTGGCACGCACTACACGCCTGTCTACATGCATGTGCGACTGATCTTTGATGCTGATTTTGAATTCTCATATCTTTCAGAGTTTTATATTATTTTCACTACAAAATACTACTAAATAAACTGAATTGATTTCAGTCAGATATATGTCTACTCTGGAAGATATAAAGATCATATATATCGTCATTTGACATTTCCTCTAAACATGTTGTCATCGTCTGTTTTTATGCATTTTGGTCACATGTGACTGGATCCGAGAAACCGGCTATAAACTGCGCAGTAGTTTCTCTACATCTTATGCCGGCCGGTAATATCGAAAGAAAGTTCAACAAACCCCCAATAAAATGTGTTATATATATATACACATTTCAATTTTCAATATCTACGCAAATAGAGTTGAATATATGTTTATACGCATAGCGCTGGTATATTAACATCAAGGTGAAATAAGAAGTACTCAAGTGGCTTATAGATAACTTGATTAGTCAGCTTATGAGCCAAGTGCCTCAAGGTTTCTCCAACTGATAAAAGAAATATAAATCATTCTCTGATTTCAATAATTTAAAATGTTTATTTTTATATTGCTTAGTGACTACAGTTATTAAATATATTGCGTAAACAAATTCAATCAATATGACTGAGAATTAAACGAAGAACTTAGATATAAGTGATGAGAGCTAACACTATAGCAGATCATTGATCTAGTGAGGTAATACAAGCTAGGTGAGTGTGGATAACTGATAGAAATATGAATTTTGGCAGTTGCTGCTTGGAATCAGGTGGCTCCATATGGAGACGGTTTACAGCTCCAGTTGGAACTGTTCTTGTTCCTCAATTTTCAGCGATTGAGTTTTCTTGACCAGGTCGGTTGGCACGGGCACACACTTGCGGAAGGGAGTGCGAGGAGTGCCGCGCATCAGGCAGCTGGGGATGTTGCTGGGCGGAGTTTGACTCAGAGGAGAGCCACGCAGATTCTTCATGAAAGCACGTTCATAGATCAGCTTAGTGCCTGCAATACACAAAGTACAAAGTGAGCCATTATGCGACATTCAAACGAGACTTGCATCAGACAGGCGATAAGACAGCAGCACGAGCTCACAGAAGTTCCCATGAGTCACGGACATGTGCGAGTGATCGGACAGAGGGTGATACTCTCTTATCAAAATTCTTCAGCTGATTCACAAAAACCGAAATATTTCATCAACTTACCACCAGGTGTAGTGGAGTAGAGGGTGCCACCGGGCGTAGATGAGTAGACCTCTGGCATCTGGATGGGATCTGATATGATGACCTTCTTGGTCTTTGCCATGGCCATGGGCAGCGCATGAGAAATGGCTTGACGAGCAGTAGGTGATGCAGACATTTTTTTTATTGTTTAAAAACTTTCCGTTATTTTATAACAGTTGCACTTGTAAATCGTAATCGAACGACTTTTGTTTGTTTACACGAAATTGCGTTGTAGCTTTACAGCTATTACTAGCTTCGTCTATCACTCTGCTCCGTACTACGTATCTGGTTCGCTTTGCGAGTCCAATTGACACCAAACAGCAATGGGCGCTGTATTTATACTGCTTGCGCTTCCTCTTTCCACACAGCTAGCGCGCAAACAAAACAAACTCACACACTCGCACACGCTTACACATATACACAGTGCACGTTGTGCGCTCTCTCTCTGCTTCTGCTCTCTTCTCGCACTCTCACTACGGGAACGGGATAGCCGTCTGCTGATATTTGCTTCTGCTTCTGCTTTTGTTGTTTTTTGCCCGTTTTGTTTTCTACAAAATTTCTGCGTAGTACAAATCGCATGTGGTTGTTGTTATTCTTTTGCATATACCGTTCAGTTGTTATTGTTTTGTTTTTTTTTGTTTAATTCTATATCTTGGCAATTCAGACCAGACTTTTCGATTCGGTTAAGCAGCCTTGATCGAACGGAGGTGTGCTGACCGGTTCTAATCTGTTTATCATTGCTGTTTGTTTATGAGTATTTATTGGTCAAGAGTTATGTATGACTGTAGAAATGTGGAGATACGCATAAATAAGAAAAAACTCGTCTTTAAAATAGTCAATATCGATATCGGCGCCATGACTCACGTTAAAAAAGAGAATGAAAATGCATACGTAACTGCTTTGCATAAAGAAACGTTGCCGGTATAATTGGCTGACGTATTAAAGGTAATATAACAATTAAATTCAGAGGCACGAGCCGGCGAAAAACGACATTAACAACAACAACAGTTTGCGGGGGCGCCATTGACGACATTTTTAGACAGAAGCATGTAAATATTGTGCCAATGAATTCGACGTAGTTTGCCATTTTGGCCATTAGCCATAGGTAGGGAGAGATCATGTAATGGCCCCACGTGTAGGGCCTCGGCTATTAATGTGGGCCACATTCGCCTCCCACGATCATGCACAAGGTTAATGCTTAATCCACGTGCTCTTATTTATGTTCTCATCGGACATATCTGTGGCAAAGCACGCACTCACTTTCCCAGATGACCTCGTTCTAAACATAGCTGAGGAAAATTTTGAATATCTATTTTTTCCCCCCGATTTCTGCACCTGTGCAATTAACCTCATTCGTTGCTCTTTACGGGGCAGTTCTATCCAACCATATCTATGCCTGAAAGTTGACCCCCAAAAAATTCAGGCGATAAACGCATTACATAGAATGAGAACGACAAAACTTGCCGTGTCATTCCGCACGTAGACCCCAGCATAGCTGACAAAAAACGCCTTACGTGCGGGTGTGGGCCTACGACAGATTATCGTGGCCTCTCTTTCTCTCCAATGTAAGATTATCGTGTACTCTCCCTTTTACTTATTGCGAGCATAAGTCGTTCTCTCTTGCGCCTTATCAACCCTTGTGGCTCAACGAGTTTTTCGAGTTTCTCAGTTTGTTTGTACCTGCGCAGTAGCTGAGAAAAATTGCGTCGTGCGTCGCGCCCACAGGTAGGATGCGCTTAGGCTAACCCCTCGTAGCCACGCCATAGACATACGAAATGTGTTTGTTTTGTTGTCGCCAAATTTCAGTATGGCTGATGAAATTGCACGATGTCATTTCAGCAGCTCTCTTAAGTACAATCTAGACAAACAGCCAAATATATACATATATATTAGTATATATTCGTACATATATATTTATACATATGTGTACAGAATTAACATCTTAATTTAGCTATTTCTATTCAATGATAGTTTCTCATGAATGAAGCGCGTTCTCGCTCTCGCCTTAGCCTAGGGTCGAGTGCGTTTGAGAGGCATCTGAGCAGCAACAAGTGTGGGGTATGATAGAATTTCATTTACCCTATGTTAAGTAGCTTTTGGCGTGATTTACTCAATAATACCCAATAATAACAATTATTATTTATGATATGTGCTTTTCCTTAAGGTTATTTTTGTAGACATTTTCTTTTCGCGTTAATTTCTTATTTATTTTCTGATTCCAGTTACTCTATCATTCAGACTGCACTTCAACTTATCAATTTAGATGAAATTTAACATTTATGTTTGTGTGTCTGGTCTATTCATTCCAGTCACATTTGTCATAATGGTATTTTTTCAGCCGAAACTCTGATAAGAATTGTAAACAACAAATATGAATATGAATCTATATTAGACTATTGTCAGATAATATTTATAAAGTAAATGACTTTTTCATATTTTTTGCTAACAATTTGAAAATGCTTTGGGATTGAAAATCATATTAAATTATTATTATTTTTGTTGTTGCATATTTCAAAATATTTTATGTCACGAAAAAATTGTTTAGGAAAATAAGAATAAGCGAACAAGTAAATTGAAAATATGGATTAGGTCATAAAAATGGCTTTAACTATGCTTCAATTATAGGGTATATGAAAACTGCTGTTTCTCTGCTCTCTACCAACGTCGATGACCCAGAAAAATAAATGTGCTTACATACATACATATTTATATGTACAGACATATATGCATATTCATGCGATATAAATATACAAACGTCTAGAAACCAGAAAAAACATCTGCATTTGCTTATATGTATTTTGAACGTGTATTTAATTTTGAAAACAACAAACCGAATCAGTTGACTTTGTTTATGCGAAGTAAGAAAAACAAAGGCAGAAATAAAACCAAATAGGAAAAATATCGTAAACAAGAGTCCCGAAAAATATACACAATTCAATAGGCCTATAAATCAGTTCTGGTTATCAACCGAGCTTTCGAATTTCGGCGCCAAGTGAAACATCTAATCGAGGCTTAACGCCGCATTCAGACTGCATGGCACGTTTTTTTTTCTTCTCTTCTTTCCAAATTGCGCCAATTTAATTGAAAATAATCTGCGCAATGACGAGCTCAAAATTTCAGATGCAGTTCAATAGCCCAAAGTTGAGATAACTCAAAACTGATGATCTATTTTTTAAATGAATTGTTATAAAAGAATTTAAAGTGCATTGAAATGACAAATTCAAACTTTGGGGTCGAGCAAAAGCCGCTTCTTAATGTTCGCTTACATTTAAAATTCAATACCGATTTTTTATAGTACATATGAATATATAGTCTATATAGATATTTGAAGGAACAAAAGTAGATAAATAAAACTGTGATATAGTTTATGTTTCCTGATTTGCCATACTTTTCTTGCGATACTTTTAAACAGACTTCGTATGCAAATATGTACATATGTATAATCTTTATATTTGAATCTGAGGGAGAGAGTTCAATTTAAAATGCTCTAGATTCAATAGTGTGAATATTAAAAATTCGTAATAATTCTAGATTAACCACGCCCCAAGTGAGTGTAGCATTATATATATGTTGATCTTAAATATTAATCTTTATATTAATCTCAAATTCAATTCACATCCAGTTTGACGAAAGGCAGACAACCCTTGCACACCTGCCCAGTATACCGAATATAAAAAATTATACGAATATAAAAAATTAAATAAAACTATATTCTTTATTTTTCTATCTCAGTTTCATCTTTGCATAAATCAATAATGCATTCGAAAATTTGTAAAAACAAAAGCAAAAGTAAAATGCTACAGAAACTATGGAAATTTTCGCATCTCGATGTTGAAACCTTCGACACGATCAATGAACTTTTTCTGTTTTTCTCTTTTCTTGTTTTTTCTCTTTTTCTTATACTTTTAAAAAATTCTTTTTTTTTTTTTCAGTCGAGTTTCATGAACTTATTGGATGAACTGTTTTATTGCCTTCCTAGAATCGATGACGATGTCTGACAAAAAAGTAAATAATAATAGTAATTCTTTTTCTTTATTGTTTAAGCTTCCTTTACGTTCTTTATAATATTCATTTAGAAACATATTCATTAATGAAAGTTTAATGAAAAGAATTATAATTGTTGCTCCATTTCCTGTTTAAACTAAAGTGAATTACGAATGTATAAAATGTTGAAAATTTTGGGTTTTGTTGGGCTGTATGTATTCAAATATATGGTAAAAAATGTATTTTCCTACATCTGATGCGATGCTGTTATTCACACAAGCAATACGCCCTATTGACTCATTTGCATTCTACTTACTTGTATTTCATATTTGTGACACTAGACCTATACCTTAATTAATCAGCTAGCAGATCTTACATTAATCACATTACCATTTGTATTTCAATTGTGCAACAAGTAATCACCTTATCGCATATTGTTTGTGCGAGTCTAAACCAGGCAGCAGTACTTCAACACTTTACATAAGATTCTTAACTGAATGTTAGCTGTTCCTAAATGATAAATGCATTGTTTTTAATTACGTCGTAGTATTAAGAAATATTTGTGTTTGACATGAATTCGATTTTCTCTTTCGATCGGTTCATTTGTAAGAAGATAAGATATAAAGATGAAATATGTATGTGTAGCAAAATATTCATTGTTACGAATGAAGAGGAAAGAGAATCGAGCTCAAAAAAGAGTGGCAAATAATTTGATTAATTTCTAACTGATCATGTAATGCATTAAATACATAAATTGCATTTAACGCTCTGAAATGCTATTTTTGTCTAATAAAATGTATTCAAAATAAGCAAAGCGGGTTGCTGCTAGCGCCATCTAGTGCTATAAACGAACAATGTAGCGATTCTATCGATAACACAGCGGAGCATAGCATACACATCGATCGCATAATCGGTAGGTAATTTTTTTTGGCGGGAGGTGTGCACACTCTTTTGCTTTGCGCTGGGATTTGTAAAAATTTCATTTAAATAAAATATTTTAAAAGAAATAAGTAATGGATCTTAACGATGCCGTGTTAACATGCGCGGTGAACATACACTGGACCAATGCGGTGGGCATAACGGGCCGTAAGCTGGCCTACCGCACAGCGACGTTGCGTCTGGTGCGCAACGATTTGCGCGAAATGTTTGTTGAAGTGACGCCCGAGAAGCTGAAGCCGCTCAAGTTTAAGCTAAAGGACATAATGGTGCACAAGAAGTTCATGGCCGAGGGCAAGGCGACGTTCAACTTCAAGGCGGAAAAGTGTGCTATTTATCTGTCGAATGCGCCTCCCGGCACCTTGATGCTCTTCCTGCGCACGATTTTCATCAAAATGAACGGCGAGACGACGCCACAGGACGACGCAGCCATGCAAAAGAAGCTGCGCGAGCATATGCTGAGCTCACGGCCCAGCACCTTTGAGGAGATCTCCCCAGTGACCACAGCCGAAATGGTTTTGGCGCGCAAAAAAGCGGGGCTTATAACGCGTGGCAGCACGACGACGCCCTCGCCCCAGGCCACCAAGAAGCGACGCTACGACGAGCTGAAGGAGGACAAGAGTGGTGTGCCAGCTGCCAAAAAGCTGTATCAGCCCTCACCTCTGGCCAACAACACGGAGTCGGAGGATTCGCTACGTCTCAGCGCCGAGCAAATGGAAGTGCTGCGCGCTTGCACCTCGGGCAAGAACGTTTTCTTCACTGGCTCAGCGGGCACGGGAAAAAGTTTTCTGCTGCGCAAGATCATCTCGGCGCTACCGCCAGACGGCACCGTGGCCACGGCCTCGACAGGCGTGGCCGCCTGCCTCATAGGTGGCACCACGCTGCACGCCTTTGCCGGCATAGCTGGCGGCGATGGCACCTTGCAACGCTGCATTGAGTTGGCGTCTCGATCTGCAGCAGCGCAAACCTGGCGCAAATGCAAGCGACTGATCATAGACGAAATCTCCATGGTGGATGGACAGTACTTCGATGTGAGTTATGTTAAATATATGTAACTAATTGTACTTTATACATGCAGAGCACATTTTTTGCAATTCAATTTTGCATTCATTTCTGGCGCTCTCTACAAACAACGGGACCTGCTACCTGCGTGATCGACTGGGATGGCAGCTTCGCCCTAATTTTCGCCTGCTCTCAATTGCTCTCGCAAATATGTACATGCATGCTATTAAGGCACATTTTTCTTGTCGACTTTCTATTGCTCTCGCTAATATGCACGTGTGTATGTCATGTTGATATTGCTTTCGAGAGAGCGATGCATAGGAAAATAGTTAAGATTGTATGTGTGCTGTATGCACGGAGGTATAACAGAGAGCGTGTCCCATGCCCACAAAATCACAAAATCTGTATTGTAAAGACTAAGAAGTAAGAGGGAGATTCTTTAATTTCTACATATATAATATTTATTGCTTTCGATTTTATATACACTCGTGTATTGAGGTCATGCTGCTGTTTAGTTCTACATATGTATTTCTCTATGTTTTAGGTGGGGTTTGATCACAATTTTAACTTAATATATATCGGAATCATTAATTCTTGCAGAAAATCGAGGCTGTTGCTCGTCATGTGCGCCGCAACGAGCGACCCTTTGGTGGCATTCAGCTCATACTTTGTGGAGACTTCTTGCAGCTGCCACCTGTAATCAAAGGGGAGACAGGTGTGCAACGCTTCTGCTTCCAGTCGAGCGCCTGGGAGAGCTGCATTCAATGCGTCTACGAGCTGAAGCAAGTGCATCGTCAATCGGATCCGGAGTTTGTGCAAATACTCAATCATCTGCGCATTGGACATGTGAATGAGAGCATCTCGGCGAGATTGGTGTCCACGTCCAAGCAGAAGATCGAAGGCAATGGGATTTTGGCCACACAGCTCTGCTCACACACGAACGATGCGAACTCCATAAATGAATCGAAGCTGGAGAACTTGACCGGGGAAAAAGTGCTCTTCCGTGCAGAGGATTCGGATGCATATATGAGCAAGCAACTGGATCAGCAGGTGCAGGCGCCGGCTCAGCTCTATCTGAAAGTCAACGCTCAGGTCATGCTGCTCAAGAATATAAACATAGCCAATGGCTTGGTGAACGGCGCACGCGGCGTCGTTGTACGCATTGAGAAGGGTTTGCCCGTGGTGCGCTTTAAGAACAATCAGGAGTACATATGCCGGCAGGAGAAGTGGGTCATTAAGACAGCGACAGGTGGATTAGTGACACGTCGCCAAATACCGCTGAAGCTCGCTTGGGCCTTCTCCATACACAAAAGTCAAGGATTGACGCTTGATTGTGTGGAGATGTCACTGTCCAAGGTCTTTGAAGCTGGCCAGGCTTATGTAGCACTATCCAGAGCTAAATCGTTGCAGTCTGTGCGAATTCTGGACTTTGATGCCAAGCAGGTGTGGGCCAATCCGCAGGTGTTGCAGTTCTACAAGAACTTCCGCAGGCGCCTGATCGACACCAATATGATACCGCTTGGACCCAGGAACAAGGATAAAAAACCTGGCGAAAGGGAAGCAAACAGCGCTTTGGTCAAGCTCAAGAAGAGCTTAATGAACAAGCCACTCGTCTCAATTAGCTAACTTAAGTTACGAATTAATCTAGTTAAAACAATTTTATTGAGCGCAAGGGTTTCGATTTTGAGGGAGCTAAAGGCTAAAGGCTTCCTCAAGATCCGAATCCTTGCTATATGTTTAACTTATTTATGAGGTTGGTCTGAAAATGATGCGACCTTAACATAAATAGCAAGATTGATAGTTAATTAATCATTTCTTATGCAAAGAGCCAGCATTGTTTCAGCCTACTCTCGTATGATACTGCCACAGCTCTTAAGACTTAAACCTTGACTATATTTTTTTAAGACAATCCAATCCTTACTTTAGCTATAAGTACCATTTCATTTCATAACGCTGTAATTAATCTTAACATATCCAAGAACGTTTATTGAACATTTTGGAATGTTTAAGATTGAATAATATTGAGACTGTAATCAAGAAGCGGTAAAATTGCTATCTAGAATTAATGCTAACCAGATAACGAAAGTTCTAGATGTCTAAAAAATTGTGCATGTTTAATTTAAGTTGTCCTGACTAGCAAATATCTTTTACTATATCTATACAACAATATATATCTAAATAGAACAATACGAATATATTTCGAATATAAGCTCTATAAACGGCGATCGCATAACTTAACTATATAAACTAAGAAGAACAAAGAAAGAATTGTACGGGAATATATTATTAATTTCGTTCTATGCCACGATGAATTTTCTAAATTCCGTCCTTAAATTTCCACTCGTTCGTGTGAGGGACCTAAATGACCTTTTATGAAGGTCAAAGGAAATTGATATATATTCTATACATATTCTTGTAAAATATTTGTGAAATTTTAATTTATTTAAAATATAAATTATATAGAACAAAAACAAATAAACTTTGATGGCAATAAACAACAAATTTTTATAAAGCTTAAAAACTGGTTTGATTTCTATCAGGAGAAAAAACTTCTCATATGTGTCATATAACTAGGCTGAGTCTGCTGTTGAAATTACAAGAAAAAATATTTTTCTCAAATTTTGCTTTGGCCGCTGCAAGATTTTTATAAAAATTTCAGCTGAAGTACTAGGCGAACAGAATTCGCAGAAGGCAACTGCAAATTTTGCTATGAAAAATTGCATTGCATGCAACAAGGGGCAAATATTCGCAAGCTCGAATTTTTGTAGCATAGTTTTAGTTGCCGGCGAAATTGCGAGCGCATAATATTCCATTGCGTGCAGCTAGGCATAAATAAAATTCGAATGTGGAAATTTTCCATTGCATACTTTTAGTTGCTTCGATATTAGACAGTGAAAGTTGTGTGCAAATTTAAAAGATTACTGCTGATTACTCTCTGGGTATTTATCTGCAATATCTGCAGATGTTTTTATTAAATTATTCCTCATGAGTGTTAAAAAAGGCTAAAGTGAGCAGTTTCGATTACTTGCAAACATATTCGCGAACTAAGAACTAATGCAACTATTTTGACAGATTTTTGTTTGAAAGACTTATGTATGGCTCGATATAAGCTGTGTGGACTATATAGTTTGTATTATAGACGTATTAGCTAGGTATTCATGCCTCTGCGGACATATTTAAGGGTTGGCGTTATAAAATACATTCCAGCTTGCTTTTATATACACCAATTCTATTTTCATGTGGCATTCCAAAACTGCACCATTTACGACATATATATTAGTCTCAATTTTTCTACATTTTTTAGGTGTGTATATTTTATGTAAATCCACGAACATTTGCTTGGTGTGTTGGAAAATTGTTGCACGAAATATTTCTATTTAGTGGGCAGGTATTTGCTCGTCATCCTTCATGCCGCTGCCAACGGGTCCGTGGCGACGCTCCCAGATCAAACGGTGCTTCTGCTTCATGAAAGCGGTCTTGGCATTGGCATAGCCGCCCAAATCGCCATCTGCAAGGATATAGACAAAATGTGAGCAAAGATTAAAAATTCACTCTTTAGCTGTCTCAATTTGATGATTCCTACACTTGATAAACCAATTCTCGGCAGCTTGCTGGTACTGATCCATCAGCGGCTTGCACTTGACCATGTGATCGGGCGCCTCGTACAAGGTGCAATCCTCGAAGCGTTGCCGCAGGATATTCAAAATCTCATTGTCCACCATGCGATCGCGCCGGAATTGCTGATCCGCCTCGAAGCGACAGACGGCATCGTCTGTGTAGCACTCATCGATGGTAGGCACGCGGCGAAAGCGCTGATGATACCAGTTCGATTTCTGTTGGTTCGGCTCCACAATTGTCTCTTCGCATGTAAACAAAAACAAAGCCGACATTAGATTTGAGGTTATGTCATTATGTAATTTCATAAATTGCATATTAAAAACTATTCAGCAGTCAATTGCTTGTATTTGCTATTGCCTGCTTTCTGCACTCACTGCAAATGCAATTTGCATAATAATTTTGTATTTTTATTTACCGCGAAACCAGGTAATTGGTCCATCGATAGCATTTTGCACGGATTGTACAAAGCTGGCCATTGGGCTGCGTGGCTCCGGCATTTTGTTGCGTCTCTTAACTGCAAGTGGCGGAAAACACAATTAGTACAGCTCTTGTATTTTATTTTTCAGTAATTTATGCTTTTTCACGCATTTTTTTCGAGATTTACCCAAATTCCAGTCAGCAGCTAAAAACAAGAAACAGCTGTTCGCTGCGCAGAGAGTTGAGCACTAGTGTGCGAAGAGTGTAACACTATGTGTTTTTCACTGGCTGGCAGCACCAATTTTGCGCGCAGCCAACTTTAAGTGGCTCAATTTTGCGTCCGATAGTCATGTTCGATTTCTGTCGATTTGTAGTTGTCGATGAATCGCAAGTTGCCCTGTTGCTATTTGTATAGACACATGTTGCTGCGATATGACAGCATGTGCAGCATGATGCAACATTCTAGATTGCATAGCAACATTACTCTTAACGAGGGCTAAAATGAAAGTTGTAAGAACCTTTTTTGCAATTTATTAATAAATATTTTATTTTCTGCAAATTAAAGCTAGTTTTACTGATTTTTTTTATATCAACCAACTAATATTTAGTGTCGCTGTCATATATTAAACTTGACCAATATTCAATAATTAATGCAACGATCATTTTAAAGGCTTCTATACAGAGCCAATAATGTGACGGTGTTATTGTTTTTTGGCAAACTCGCTTTGCAAATTCGTCTCTGAGATGGAAGAGAGTGGCCGCCAAATGCTGCAGAGCAAATGGTGGTTGGCTGTGCTTTGCCAGAGAGACCAGACCGTCTGTCTTTTGTATCTGCAAGTTTAAAGAGCGAACCAGTGGGAGAGCAGTGCGAGAGAGTGCGCGCGAAAAAAGATACGTCTGCGGTGCGCTCTTTGCAATTGCCGCTACGCAGCGAATACATTTCAACAGTTTTGTGGCGGTCGTCAGAAAGCTCGCACGTGCGAACGCGTAACGGAAAGTTCGGCATTAGCACAACTATAACGACACAGCAGCAGTAGCAACAACAACAATAAAAGCGTTGAGCGCAGCAGCAACAACAACAAATCAAAGAAACAAAACGAAAACGTAAACGCCGTGTATTTTGAGTGCGCGGCTGCAGAGTGCAGGCTTTATATACATATATTTGCGTGTGCGTGTGCGTGCGCGCGTGTTAGTGTGCGTCAGTGTGATAGTTCGTGTTGTTTTTATGGTGGCAGAGGAGCCAGCCCAAAGAGCAAAAATTCCTAAATAAATATTCCAATAGAAGCATGCAAAAATAAGAAAAATTAATTAAAATACAACAACAGCAAGAAGAAATAAAGAAAAGAAAAAATTAAATAAATTCAAATAGTTTATAAATAGTGCACAAACAAGGCGGCTCGCAATTCACAATTGTCAGGCGGCGGCGTCGGCGTCGCAGTCGAAGTCAACGCACGCCTGTGTGAGTGCCGCTCAGCCAATCTATCTCAGTGTGCGTGTGTGTGTCTGTGTGCGCGCGACAGTGTGTGTGCGGCCGGTGTGCGTCCGTGTCTGCCGGCCTGCGTCTTCGTCTGTGCCAGCGTCTGCTCTGCTCTGCTCTGTATCTCCGTATCCGTGTCGGCAGCGTCGCCATGCGTCGTGCGGTTAAATATTAAGCATACGAAGTGGAAATTAATTTATGGCAAAATTTAATAATAAGTGAGTGCCACAACAACAACAACAACAACAAGAGCAGCTAAAGTCATAGCAGCAGCAACGACAGCAGCAGAAAATATATTAAGACTACAATTTCGAAAATATTGTGCACGTCGCCTGCAGCGACGTCAGCGTCGACGTTGACAGAGCGCAACACGCGCGCCTTCAAAACATACTCACACACACTTAGGCAAATATACATATGCAAATGCATGTAAAAGCTAGCGGCGCATAAAGCGCCAAGCAGCGCAGCGCCGTCGGCAAATGCAGCAGCGTCTAATTTGAAAGAAAGAGAAAGATAGCGAAAATAAAAACCGGAAAAATGCGCGAAATAAAATGAAGTTCAACAAATTGTGCCAAATTGTTAAAATTCTAAACAAATAAAACGAAGAAAAAAAATTATTAAAATTTAATTGTAATATTGAACGAAAATGTAAAAGCTCGCCCAACAGTTTATTGTAGCAGCAGAAGAAACAACATCAATAAAACATAGAGTGAACTATCGAGCGTGTTATCGATAACTGTGCGATGACCGAATACGTAACGCCGATGATCAGCAGCGTGCTGAAAAAGTACCAAACGAGCGCTACGAAAAGTTTGCAGGGCCCCGCCGTGGCGCTAATCAAAAAGGAAATAAGCAGTTCACCGGAACCACATGACCTGCACACGCATGAGCCGGCAAACGCCACAGCTAGTTCCGCAGCTCACAGCGAACGGAACCAACAGATATACGCAGCGCCGCTGCCGCTGCCGCCAGAACTGTCACAGCCCATCCTAACGCAGCCGGACACCGACTGCGGCGAATTGTATGAGACGCGCTTGGAGGGCAAGGCGATTGGCTGCTTCTCGATGGGCGGCGAAATGCGTTTGTGCTTGCCGCAATTTCTGAACAATGTGCTCAGCGATTTCACTTTAGATCAGATCAATGGCATTTTCGAGGATCTGGGCATCTCCTGTTCGCAGTGCACGCCCGAGCAACTGGTCGAGTTCAAGGCCGCCAAGATTTTGCCATCGGATGTGAAGGGCAGCGGCCTGATCACACGCACCGATGCGGAACGCCTCTGCGCCGCTCTCCTGCATCGCTCCGATCGGAACAGCTATGTGCCCGTCGAGAGCCTGGGCAAGGGCGCCCTCAGCTTTCAGGTGTATCACAAGTGCTTTGGCAAGTGCGAGGGCATCTGTACGCCGGATATGTATTCGTATCAAAAACCGACGTGCATTCAGTGTCTGGAATGCAATTGCTGGTTTTCGCCGCAGAAATTCGTGGGTCATGTGCATCGCAAGGTGGAGAATCGCACCTGTCATTGGGGCTTCGACTCGAGGAATTGGCATGATTACCTTCATGTGGCGCTCGATGTCGAGAATCGAGAGAAATATCAACGTATTTTGGATCAGCTCAAGGAGGTGGAACTCAAGGAAATGCACAAGGCGCAATGTGAACTGGATCACAAGAAACGAAAGGTAAGCTCCTAAAATAAAATGAATTCAGAATACAAGCAAATATTTCAATTAGATAATAATACAATAGATAAGTGAGCTTGTTCACAGGTTTCAGCTTCTTATACAAGCAGTTGAATTTCAGAAGAACTTTAATTCTAATCAGTTCGAATTCAACCAAATTTCTAATGTGAATACAAGCTTAATAGCTGCCTAATTGGGAACGTCTTATTGGCAACAAAAAAAAAGATTGCAAATTTTACACAACACGCGCATTTGCTCTAAATACAAATGTATCACGCATTTTCGCATTTCACGCATTTTAATACCGTTAAAGCTTTGACAAGAAAAAATAAATAAGATTAGGCTTGCCGCTGTTCCTCTAATTATGTTTCAGCTTGGGCTCTTAATTCGCTCGCCTCCAATCAGAAATGAAAAGCGCCGTCGCTTGCTTCACACCTTCGGCTACTGCAGCGCCCACTGGCGGCGTTTCAGGCGGCGCCATATTTGGTTGTCATTGCTGCTGTTCTTCTTCTGCTTCTTCTTCTGCTTCTCGTTGTTGTTGTTCTTTTATTCTCATTCACATTTCGCATTCGCATTCAATTCGATCTTCTTTAACGACATTTCGTCGCTTGTGCGCCCGTTAAAAACTCATAAAAATACAAAAGGCGAAGTCAAATGCTGTGTGAGAGTGATAGCAATATCGTATTTGCGGCAGCGTGACAGAGTAGCACACACATATAAATGCGCAGCATTTAAAATTATGCAAATATTATAATATAGTATGAGTGTGTGAATGCGAGTGAGTGTTTTTTTTTTCTTAAATGTATTCTTATATATGTATATATTTAAATGTCAGTGCAATGTGCTATCTCTTTCTCTACCTCACTGCAAAAAAAAAAAAAAAAATTACTGTTGATCCGGCCACGTTCGTTTTTTTTGTTGTGTTTATTTATTTAAACTACTTAATTTTATGCTTAAACAGCGCACTCGATTTTTTTGTTGGATTACAATAAATACCAGAGTTTTTTTAGCTGTTGGTTTGGCCCAAAGCTATTTTTTTGTCTTACTGCTGCTTGCAGCCAGCGCGTCTGCTGTGGCCGTGGCCGAGGCGGTGACGGCAACGACGTCGACGTCGACGCTCTGCAGCGACGACAAGTTGTCTCTGCTGCTGACGTCTGTTTGCTGGCAAACAGCAAAGAACAATGACGAACGTTGATTATTTTTAGTATGTGCGGCGACAATTGAGTTGTCAATTTAGTTGAATCGATCAAAATAGCGTAGAGCAGAAATTAAGAGCAAGCGAGAGAGCGGAAGAGAGCGAAGGCGCATGCAGCTTCTGAGGTCCTCTCTCCATCTCTCTCTCTCTCTCTCCCTCTCTCTCTCTCTCTCTCTGTTGCTCTCTTAGTATTTAGCCAATTAACTCCTTAGGAACAGCATATTCTTATGAATTTCAACTCGATAACAAATTGATCGATACTCAATGTTGGTTTGCTCTGATTGTGCTTTTGAGTAGTTGTTTTTTATGTTTTGCTTTATTTATTTTATTTTATTTTTTGGCTTGTCATTGTTGACTGTGCTTTTTTCGATTCGCACCAGCTTCAATGTTAAATATTCAGCAAATATGTATTAATAACGAGCAAAAGGGTTAAGTGAAAGAGCCGGCGGCATAGCGCAGTGCAGGGATAGCAAGGGCAAAAATAAATCGCAAACCGGTTGACGATTGTCTGCTGCTGTTCGCTCTCTTTGCCGGTCTCCCGCTCTGCCTCTGCTGCTGGCGCTGCTCTTGTCTGGGCCGCCGCGCAGTCGCAGCAATGCCAATAGCCAACGGCCTTTCGTTGCGCAAAAAAGGAATACGCAAACATTTTATTTGTATGTATGCAACAATAACAAGCAGAAGCAAAGGCAGAAGCAGCGGCGGCAGACAGCGCTGGGTGTAGTTACCGCAGAGCGCCCCCAAACGGGCGCAGCATGCAAACAAAGTTGCTTTCAAATGCCAATGAACGTGATAGACGACGATGACAGCAGCAGCAGCAGCAGCAACAACAACTACAAAGACAATAACGACGCCTCTGACGTTGTCACGAGGCGCAGACATTGACTGAGCAGTCGGCAGACCTTTTTATACATGTGTATGTATGTATGTAATTGTGTTTTGTTTTTCTTTTTCGCCCTTCGCAGAGTTGCGGCTGAGCTTTTGATTTTTTTGTTTTTTTTTTTGGTTTTTGGTTTGTATTGGCGCCTATGTGTGACTAATCAAGTTGGCAGCCCTCGCAGTCGCAGTCGCAGTCGCAGTTGCGTCGCCTGTTGACTTTCGCTGCCTGCCTCTATCTCTCTCACTGTATTTCTTTCGCTCAGCTGCTGCCTACTGCTGCTGCTGCTGCTGCTGCCGCTGCTTACATAACCGCCAAAGTGTTTTTGCACTCAAGAATCTTGAAATGCGCAAAAAAAGATATTTTTGGGAGCAAATTTCATGTTTTTAAATTCAGTTCCAACTGGTTTTGCTGTTGTTGATGCTTGTCATAAAAATATTCAAAATTTACATACAATTTAATCTTGAAATATATGTATATATGTAAATGTGTGAGTTCTCGTGCTGTTTATTTTGTATAAAAATTTAGTTTTAGTTAATGTTTTGCTTGCTTTTTGTTTGTTTGTCGCTCTTTCAGCGTGTTTTTCTGGTCGTATGCATGGCACGTTCGTTGTTCTTGTTGTTCTTGTTGTTGTAATCCATATATTGGACATACATACATTTATCTTATCTCGCTCACACCCAGCCTGATAACTCAGCGAAAAGTTTAGCTGACCACGTTTCAAGTTGCCAAAAAAAAAAAAAAACAAAGTTAATAAAATTAATATTAAGACAAAGGGCGAATAAATACGAAAAAAAAAAAAACAACTGTATGTAGTCAGGGCTAAGCGCAGTTGATAAGATCGACCAATCGCTCACAGCGCAAAGCACTCCTTGTGACCAGCAAGCTGACACGTGTTCCCTCTCTCTCTCACTCTTATCCTCTCACTTCTCCTCCCCCTCTCTCTATCTGCCTCTTTCTTCGCTTTGATTCGTCTTGTGCTTAGCTAATTGGCATATCATGCTGAATTTGTTTGCAATTAAATTCGCCTTGGATTTCCCCAAAAAATATTTCAAATATTTTAATGTCGCAGTTTTGAAATAGTTCATGTGCACAGATCATGTTAATTATTAGCTTGCCAGTTTTCAGCTTGAACCAGTTATTAAGCAGGTGTTTTCAATAAGCCTTATCTGCCACCCACAAAATCCGAGTCTTTGGACTTTATATATGTATATATAAATGTGCTTATACTGTATGCATATGATTATTAACCCGAGGGATTTGCTTCGCTGAGCTTGTTGTTGGCCGAGCTGACAGTTGGCGATGTGATAAGCGCGATAAGCTCGAGAGATTGAGGTTTTGTTCTTGTGTTTTTTTCTCTCTCTCTGTTTTTGCTAGGCTTCGCTCTCACCCTCACTGGTTGATCTAGTAAAAACCCGCTGGCTAGTCTCGAGACCTCTTTGCATCATCATCATCATCATCATCATCATGATCATCATCCGCATGTCATGTGATGTTCGCTAGCATTGCTTGTTTTTGATACCCTGTGCCAATTCAAACAGAGACAGGCATAATGGGTATATTGTAGTTGTGCATTATTATGTGACGATCATTTGGAATTGCTGTGTGAGTTTGATGATATATGTGATTGTATAGACATTCTATCGGTAATCGTAATATTTAAAAATTAATATTAAGATGCAATATTAAATATTCATGAAAAATCGATGTTTATATTTATCGATAAAAAATTATATTCATTTATATAAATATTTAATGAATATATCAACTGTGCTCGGACCTTAATGATTTGTTAAGAACATTTGATAGATCGTTCGAACATTTTTCAAATCGATAAATATCGACTTTCAAGACCGTGCTAATTTCCAGTATTTGCCTATGCGAATCACTACAGGCCATCTCATAGTCGTTTATTCTTTGCTCAAGCAATCTCTCTGCTGCTTTTCTGTTATGGTTTATAAGACTAAAAACTCAGACAGGCAGACAGATCGCGGAGCAAAGGCAAAGTCTGTGGAGGTGCGGCCGGTTCTAGGCATGAGCTTGTGCTTGGGCTTGGGCTTGGGCTCAAGTACAACTATGAGTACTGAATGCTTGTTGCTAGCTGCTTGTTATTGTTGTTGTGACTGTTGCTGGGACAGGTGTGGGCCTGGTTGGTGCCTCGAGTCTGCCGGACAACGTTTAATGCGTCGTTTATCGTTGATCTTAAATCTAAATAGTTTTCCAGTTGCTCTTGTTGTTGTTATGGTTGTTTTTGTTGCACTATCATTGGCGGCCTCCAGGCAGACTAGACCCAGAACCAGACGCAAAAAAAAAAATACCGTCTTAAAGCGTCTGCTCACATCGCTCCTCTCTCTCTCTCTCTCTCTCTCTCTCTCTCTCTCCACTTAGCAAATATTTGAGAAGAAAAAAATTCATTCTCATGTTGATTTTAATTAAGTCCAATGATTAAATTTGAACGTTCGAACGTTTTTATTTATTTTTTTTTTCGATTTATTTTTGTTGTTGCTAATGATATGTCATGTGTTGTTGTTGTTGTTGTTGCGTATCGGTTTTCAATTGATTTGAGAAATTCGTGTTTATTTTTTTTTCGCATTCACACAAATTAGTGAAAATATTTAAATAACCGAAACGTGTTTCCAAATATTTTTGCCTACACACATAGATACAGATGCGAGGTATATACATATATATATATATAAAGACAGATAGATGGAGCTGGGGCCAGATTGGCAACGGGGTTCGCTGTTATCCAGCAAAACAATCAACAGCGCG